TACTAGTATTTTTTTCAAGTCTTTCCATTTCCTAACAAATGGGGCGGTGTCGTTCTTTCTGATGGAAACATGGAATTCCATTGTATATATATATATATATATACCACATTTTCTTGATCCACTCATCTACTGAGGGGCATCCACAAGGGGGGTGGTTCCATATCTCAGCTATGGTGAATAATGGTGCGATAAACATAATTGTGCTGGTAGTTTTAGTGTGGCCTTGTTTGTGCATATCACCTTATCTACCTTTTATCCATGAAAACTCAGGTTGAACACCAGCCTCCTCACAGGAGTTTCCTCATAGTCCTTCACTAATTGCCTCTGGTTTTTTTATTTTAATTTTTAATTAATTAATTTTTTTATTTTTTAATTTCTTGCATGTTCCCTAATACTCTGAGTATCCATTTATTCCAGCACTTGAGACATTTCCTTGGACAGCAATATAGAGGCACAGAGACAGAGAGATACAGAACAGAGTGAGATACAGACAATGAAGGGAAGGAGAGAGAGAAAGGAGAGAGAGGGGGAGAGAGAAGAGAGAGAGGCTATGTGTGTGTCCATTTACCTTACCCAATTATGGACACCTCAAGACAGTGACTGCTCATGTCTGGACCCAAGAAGTACCCTATAATCACAAAGAAGAGTAGCCACATGGCTAACACACTGATAGGCATGAGGAGGAGAAGGTATATAATATTGCTGCCTGAATATATATGACATGTTTTTTTATTACATCCTCCTCTTCTCTTCTGTTATGTCTAAAGCTGACAGTTCAGAGCCTTATCATTTTTGGAGCTTACCATAGCATTTCATGTATTGCCCTGCCTTTAAATGTTCACTTTGGAAAGATGAAAGTTAGTGAGAATTCTATCCATTTTAAAATCTCAGGTTGTGTGTCATCTTCCCCCAAGAAAACATTGACATCAGTCTTCACTTTCCCTCTTTCCGGGGTAGAACTGAATGTCTTGCTTTGTTGTGCTCCCACACAAAGGTAGTCTTGCTGTAGGCAAGATAACCAAGATGGAGTAAGGATATGTTGCAATGTTAAAGGAATCAAGATCATTGTTTCTCATATTTTGAGAAACAAGCCAAGTCAAGGTGACTTTACTCTAATTCCACTTTACAAGACTCAAGTGAAAATTGTCACATGTATAAAAATAACTTGTGATATTCCCATTGGTAGAATTAAACCAAAATGAAGCCCTTAACCCATATCAAAAGATGAGTAAAGTGTGTTTTAAATCAAGAGAAAGTATTTATGATGCACATTTTATCACTGGTAGAAATGATGGGATTAGAAGGAATCTATTCTCCTTAATAGATTGTGACTGTCTTGAAGACAGAGTCCATGTCTTGCTGGTGTTGGTAGCATCCGTGCCTGAGAAGGATATTTGGCTCCCAGAGAACATTGCCTAAGGGATTTTTTTTTCTGGTCTTGGAGCATGAACTCTGAGCCTGGGTGCTTCTTTTGTTGAAGGCTAGTGCTCTACCACTTGAGCCACAGCACCACTTCCAGCTTTTTGGGGTAGTTTATTAGAGATAATAGTCTCACAGACTTCCCTGCCCAGCCTGGCTTTGAACCATGATCCTCAGATCTCAGCCTCCTGAGTAGCTAGGATTACAGGCTTGAGCCACCAGTACCCAGCTCCTAAGTGATTCTTTTTTTTTTGTTGTTTTTTTTTGTCGGTCGTGGGGCTTGAACTCTAGGCCTGGGCGCTGTCCCTCAGCTCTTCAGCTCAAGGCGAGCGCTCTACCACTTGAGCTACAGCGCCACTTCCGGTTTTCTGGTGGTTTATTGGAGATAGGAGTCTCACGGTTTTTCCTGCCCGGGCTGGCTTTGAACCGCGATCCTCAGATCTCAGCCTCCTGAGTAGCTAGGATTACAGGCGTGAGCCACCAGCGCCCGGCTCCTAAGTGATTCTTTAGTCAATGGAACATGGCATATTTTTGTACAGGGTTTCAGCAATTAGGCATTTTCGCATTTATGCATTACAGTCACTAGGGGGCAATGCAATTGCATTCCTTTGTAATGACTAGCTGGTGGTATCTTACTAGTGCCATGAAAATGTAATGACCACCCTTAAAGTGCCTTGGGGCAACTTGTGGCATAAACTGTCACCAACAGTAGCATTCTTCGTATCTATTTCTCTTGATTATGTAGATGAGTTGGCTGATTCCAACTTTTCTAAACAATGAAAGGATTGACTAATAAGCACTACCTTATTGAGTTATTCAAGCTAATGGTTATGGAAACAAGAAAAGTGGAGTGGAGGAATCCAACCTTCTTGTGACTGTTGTGAGTGAAGTCAGGTATTATTAAAAACAACAACAACAACAACAGCCCTTCCTGCCTTCTCCTGAATGTCCAAGAATCACACATAAAATAAGTTCTGGTCGCTTACATCTTTTTAGCAGGAATGCTCTCTCATAAGGGCAAGACGTAGTGAAATGAGAAAGAATTCAAGAACTTGCCTTTTAGAAGATCCTGTAAAGTATGAAACATTTTTTAATTTTTGCTTTCAGTTAAGTTTTCACAGTGAATTACAAATAAACGGATGATCTTTGTCTTTAAAGGGTCCTAACAAACCAGCTTGAATCAAATGAAGGAAGCTGAGATTTCCAATACCAACAACAAAATATAATCTGTTCCAAAGTATTGCTTGAAAGTTAAGTCTCAAACAAGACAAACACTTCATGGGGGCTGGGAAGGTGGCTCAGTGGCAGAGTGCTTGCCTTGCATGCATGAGGCCCTGGGTTCAATTCTTCAGCACCACATAAGCAAAAAGAAAAAAGCCAGAAGTGGCATTGTGGCTCAAGTGGTAGAGTGTTAGCCTTGAGCTGAAGAGCTGAGAGACAGTGCCCGGGCCCAGAGTTCAGGCCCCACAACTGGACTCCCCCCCAAAAAAAAAACAACAAAAAAAAGACAAACACTTCAGTTTACTGTGTTGTTGGGGTCTTGAAATAGTTGGCCTGGAAGCAGAATGATTCAGTGGACAGAACATTTGGGTTGTTGGCTGACCAGGATGTGCGTCTCAGCTCTGCCCGGAAGTAGTAATCACAGATTCCTATGCAGTGACTTTTCAGTGTTAATATGGAAGACACAGGGAGAGAAGAATGGGGCAAATGATCTCAAAACCTTCCCTGAATGCAAACAATTATCTTTTCCAGGAAGTAGCTCTTAGGGATTTACCCCTTAACACCTATCTGTTTCAAGAGCACAGTTTGTTTTAATGCAATATTTAAAAAAAAAAACAAAAACATGCAGATTGCATGATTTCTTAATTTACCTTCTCTCAGGGCAAGAAGTGTCCAAGAAGATATGATTTGTTTTTCCCCAATGAAGTAAGAGCAGAGTGTTTCTGTTTAAAGTTCACATAAGGGGCTGGGAAGGTGGCTCGGCTCAGTGGTAGAGCGCTTGCCTTGCATGCCAGAGGCCCTGGGTTCGATTCCTCAGCACCACGTAAGCAAAAAGAAAAAAGCTGGAAGTGGCACTGTGGCTCAAGTGGTAGAGCGCTAGCCTTGAGCTGAAGAGCTGAGGGACAGCACCCAGGCCCAGAGTTCAGGCCCCACGACCGGACCCAAAAACAAAGTTCACATAAATTCAAAATGTGCTTGTTTGTATGTAGAACAGAACCTTAGACCCGTATTTGCTCCTTAGCGTTTTGCATGTGAAGAGAGTGGTGGCAATTTACTCAAAACTAATAAGAAAACCAAGCACGCTGATGTCTCCACACTACAGACAATCATGCTGCCTTTTAGGGTTTTGACTCCTGATTTATTTTTCTTTCCTACCTGCCTGTGAAGAAGGGAAGCTAGTGAACATCCAGATTTTCAGATGTCTGACTGGAAGCCTAGCAGTCTTCCAGAAATACAGTCAGGTATGAAAGAAACGTGCCATACCTCATCCTCTCCAGTCCTTCCATAGGGTTGGGGAAAATATGGCCTTTGTGTGTCTCCTTGATTCTTTTGGATTTACAGTCATATTGTTCTGTTTGTGGCACCATGCAGGGAGTTACGGTATGAAGGATGTGAAATCCAGTCACACACCCTCAGAGGTACTTGTCAGTGGGCTTCTCTGATCTTTTTGTCCCTTAGATTTAGGCTCTGACAGGGAGTTAGGACACATTGACTTCTCTGGAATAAAACCTTGGAGTGAATGATAACCTTCTTCAACTCGGGCCTCTTTTTTCTCTTTCTCCACAGGGCCCATCCTTTCTGGGCATTGGTCCACTGGACTGGGGCCAGCCTTGTGTTTAGGACTGGGACTTTGTGCGGACGGGCAGTGTCTCCGCTAGTCAGTTACCGTGAAGACACCGTTGGAGTGGATGTGTAAACTCTCCAGCATGAATTCCCCGCCCTGCCCCCCGCAGCGAAGTGCACGGGTTACTCCTGGGCCTGGCGATTTTATCCTGAACGGTATTCTGACAAGGTGTACAAGATCTGCAGCCCTATGGCTTGAATTTGAGGCCCTTTGCTTTCGATATCATCCTCACAGGCTTCATCTGTAAAATGGGTAGAGAAGATGGGATGGGTGATTATAGGGGATGTCGTTTTAAATTCTGCATTTGAGCACAGTCCGCACACTCTGACGTCCGTGTCAGCAAGCCTGGTGGCCTCAAGTCCTCACCACCCTTAACTAAATAAGCTAGTGGGTACCAAAGGCTTACTGGAGGCGGTGCCGGGTGGGGTGGGACCCGGGGTGTCCACTGATAGGGGGGCGGGGTGAGCTGGGCCCGGGCTGCTCCCTGGGCGTGCGGGCCCGCCGCTGGGATTTCAAGGTCTGGCCCGGTTCCGAGGCCGGCGGGGGGGCGCGCCCGCGAACCGGGGCCGGGCTGGGCGGCCGCAGGGTCCCCGGGGGCCGGGCGCTACTGGCGGAGCCGACGGGGCGGAGAGGAGCGCGGCAGGAGGAGGAGGAGGAGAAGGGGGCTGGTCAAGGGAAGTGCGACGTGTCTGCCGAGCCTTTTAATACCTCCTTCCCGGGAGTCTGGCAGCAGCCGCCGCCACCGCCATCCGCGCGCCCTGCCTTCGGTCTCCGGTCCCCGCACCCGGGCTCCGCCGCGGCCAGCACCATGTCGGGTATCAAGAAGCAGAAGACGGTAGGCTTCCGAGCCGCCCGCCCTCCCCCTCCGCTCCCACCGTGCTGCGCCGACCCGGCGTCGGGTCCACCCTCCACCGGAGGAGGCTCCGGCGCCGGGAAGAGGAGGAGGAAGAGGCGCGGGGAGGGGAAGCCGGCGAGGCGGCGCCCGGGATCCCCGGTCCCCCGGTGCGCCCCGCGCCTCCGGGGACCTGTTGGAGGGGGCGGGGAGAGGGGCTCCCGCGGGGTGGGGACCTGCGGGGCTTGCAAAGTGGGTCTGGATCTAAGTCAGGACCAGAGACGGGCTCGTGCTTTTCTTCCCTTGGAGAGCTCCAGACCCGCCTCCCGCCCGCCCGCGGGAGCTCCGCGCCGGGTGGGCGGTGGGCTCCGCGGTGGCTCGCGCTTGCCCGTTCCGCTCCCGCTCGGGTCGCTGGAGATCAGCCCGCTGGTCACCGGGGTTTGGACCGTGGAGCCTCCCCAGAGCGGGTTTTAGTGACAGACTTCCGTAGAAGAAACTACAGTTGTGTAGGCTAGCTGGAAGAAAGGGCCTGTCTGCAGCGCAGGACTTGACCCTCCAGCAGGTCTGCTCCCCAGGGCACCCGCTGGGTGGCACGCGTTGGTTGCTGGAGAGGGGCCGGGTCCCCTCAGTTTGGTAGGAAGAAGGGTCTGCTTCCAGCGGTGGCAGCTTTCTCCACCTTTGATCTGGGCAGGCCCTTTTTAATGGGAATGATGAGTGCGAGTCAAAGAAAAGTTCCTTCCTCATGTAGCAACACTGGCCCTTAAAAATTCTGCATCCTTAAAAATGGTCGCCGTTCAGGCTGGAGACATGGCTCTGGGGTAGCACACTTGCCTAACACATATGGGTTCAGTATTAAGCCACACGCGCGTGCACACACACACACACACATACACACACGCCAACAAAACACAGTGGTAGTGTTTGTCAAGAGGTACCCCCAATAAAGGTGGGGAAAATGACTCTTTAAGAGTTGGAAGGAGTCACAGCCTTACTATTGACAGCATTTGGGTTGCTTCTGATGTGGTCTACAAGCCTTGATTAAAATCCACCCAGCAGTCTGGGCGCTAAACACACGTTTTGCAACACTGCAAGCTTCAAATGGCTGTGGTGGTTATGAAATGGGTAGTCTGTTCAGAAGTAAATGCGTGGCTGGAAGGTAGTAGGCACTCAATAAATATTGGTTCTTATTGAAATACCTTTAAAGCGTTCAGTTTTGGCGGTGGACTGACTGAAGAAGAGGTGAACCAAACAAGAAGAGGAAGGGAAGCTAGGAGCCATGCGGGTTTTGGAAGTGTGACTTGGGCAGCTAGGGAAACAGGAAGGGACTTGTGGGGGGGGAGTGCCACACTAGACCAGTGGGAAGGTCCAGGAGGAAGTTGGCATCAATTTGGGATGGGACAATAGTCAGAGCCCAACTCTCAGCCTTGTAATATGTGGGGGGGGTTTATTTTTGTTTTTTGGGGGGTCTGGTCGTGGGGCCTGAACTCTGGGCCTGGGCACTGTCCCTCAGCTCTTCAGCTCAAGGCTAGCGCTCTACCACTTGAGCCACAGTGCCACTTCTGGCTTTTGTTTTTTCTGCTTATGTGGTGCTGAGGAATCGAACCCAGGGCCTCTGGCATGCAAGGCAAGCGCTCTACCACTGAGCCACCTTCCCAGCCTTGTAATATGTTTTTAAAATGCAAAATGAAGATCTTTCTCCCCCCCCCCCGTTTCATTTAATTAATTTCTGTAAGATCCTAAATGATGTCTTCTAAATGGCAAGCTGCTGTGGCAGTCAGAGTTTCTCTCTGGGTTTTTATTCTCTCTTGCTTGCATCAAGGAACTTCTAGTTCTGATAGGGGAGAAGAGCTTTGCCAAACATGTCAGAAGGGCTTCAGAATGTGAAGTGAAGGAGAGAGGATGGAGTCCTCCTCCCCCCATCATTTTGGGGACTCTACACAGTGAGGAATTTGAGGACCAAAGTTTGTTTTTTGTATTTACACAATCTGAGGCTTCTAATTTTTGTCACTATGTGTGTAGTTTATAGGCTTAAATTAATGCCCCCAAATAGCTAACTGAACAAGGATTTCAAGATTTTTACCTAACCTAGCAGTTATAAATCCACCTACCAACCCACATTCCCAAAAGGACCAGATAGGTACTATTGATGCTTTACTAGGCAGCTGTAAGTGCATGTGAAATTTCCTCAGACCTTCAGTGGTAACTGAAAAAGTGTTTTTGAAACCCTAGTATGGTTTCTAAGTTGGTCAATTGTTTGAAGAAGTGAGAGCTGCTCATCTGGGAACGAGGCTTGGCTGGCCTCATGTGGGACCTGCGGGCATTATTACATGGCTTTCTGCATTGTCAGTAGAGGACAGTCAATTCACACAGCAGTCTCTGAGGTAACTTTGACTATTTGCTGAATTCTGCTGGGTTGTTGGTGATGATTGGATCCTTTTTGTGAAACCCTCAGGAGAAGGCACAGGCTGATAATTAGTATAAATCAACAAAATAACTTACTGTATTATAAATTTATTTAATCTTAATTTTAATTTTTTGTCAGTTGTGGGGCTTGAACTCAGGGCTTGAGTGCTGTCCCTGAGCTCTTTTTGCTCAAGGTGAGTGCTTTACCATTTTGAGCCACAGTGCTACTTCTGGTTTTCTGGTGGTTTATTGGAGATAAGAAACTTTCCTGCCCAGGCTGGCTTTGAACTTTGATCCTCAGATCTCAGCCACCTGAGCAGCTAGGATTACAAGCGTGAGCCACCTGCACCCAGCTTTCTATTAGAAAATTTTTGTGAACAGCAAAGCATCTCTCTCAGGCTTTTTTTTTTTTGTACTTTCTAGATGAATATAGCCTTTCTGTTCACATCAACTCTAAGAAGAGTAAATAGTGGCGTTAAATGAGAGAATGTAGAATGTTTTTCTCATGTGCTTGAGGGGAAAATAATGAAAATTTGAGGGGAAAAAAAAAAGATTTTTTTCCTGAAGGAAAGTAGTATGTTACTTCCATCCTTACCATTGGTACCAACAAAACATCCAGTCACATCCCTCCCTTCCAGCCTGACTTGCCTACAACCCTGGCTACCTTTCGATCCCACCCCCTTCACACAAGTACATACCAGGGAAAAGAGGCAAAGTGCTGCCAGAGGACAGAGAGGAAAGCAAAAGTTTAGGGCCTTCCTCCTCCTCCTCCTCCTCCTTCTCCTCCTCCTCCTCTTCCTCCTCCTGC